ATTCAAGGAGAAAAACGCAAGGAACAAGGTTCAAATAGCCATGCAAGGTCACGACTTCACTATTCCAAAGAAAGGGTACATTTTAAACAAGAATGCAAGCACAAAGAGATCAAAACCGAGGCATCCACTATATGAAATCAACGTGCAAGGCCAACAAATGGAAACTTTTTGAAGATCTAACACATGCAAGAGGAAAAATCAAGACTTTCCAAATGGAAAACAACATGCAAGGGTTGCCATGGATGCACACACTTTCGAATCACCATTTCAAGTATTGGAAGCATTCTAAATAAAATTTCAGCAATGTACAAGTCAAAAACCGAGACAAGGTTCAAAGAGAAATGGGCATGCAATCATAAAAATCGTAACTTTTAAGGGTAAATTTACATGCAAGGGTAAAGACTAGGACTTTGAGGCAAGAAAATTCCAAAACCATCATGCAAGGATTCATTCACATCACCAAAGATTTCCAAGAGGCAAAGTATAGAGCTTTCATGGTACAATCACGAAAAACACAAAGAAAATGGCAAATAAATTGAAGCAAGGTGAGAACTCCCCCTTGCCTTGTTTTGGACGTGAAAAATGGATGAAGAAAAGGCTTGAACTCCAAGATCTTCAAGTTCAAAGCTGAATCCGAGAAAAGGTTGCACCAAAGACTCCAAAATTCTCCATCAAAAGTGTCCTTTGAAACCACCAACTCAAGGGAATGAAAAGATGAACTCTTGGACAAAACTCCCAAGGCTCCCAAGGCTTGAACGAAAAAGAAAGGGAAAGGAATCTCGGCTTACCTTGAGAGATTTGCACGAAAATGGAGGAACTTGGAAGGGTTGGTCCTCTCGGTTTTTGCCTTGAGAAAAGGAAGGGAAAAGAGTGCTTGAGAGGATGGTGGCTCTCGGCTTAGTCTTTGAGAGAATGGGTGAGATTGAGAGAAAGTTGCGTGTGTTTGGTGGTGTGATGGATGCAAAGTGAGGAAGAAGTGCTCACAGTTGAAGAGTGTGTTGAGTGCAAAGTGTGAGTGTTTTGGGACAAAGTGAGGTGAGTGCAAGGGTTAGGGAATCTCGGTTTTGGGGCAGCCAATTAGGATAGTTAGCTTGCTGAGTTTGGTATGTTGTATGGTTTCCATAAGGCAAGGAATAGTGTGAAAGGAGAATGGCACAAAATCTCAAGTGAATAGTTGTTTAGAAATTTGTAAAAATTAGAAGTGTGCACACGGTTTTGGGTGGCTAATTAGGGTATCTTTGCTTGCTGAAATTGGTTTAGTGTGCTTCTAAATTTGCATGTTTCCCATGGTGCAAAAGTGGACGTGAAGGGTGAGGGGTCCAAGGGAATATTGGGTGCAAACTTTCAAGGAGAATAGTAATTTAGGGACTTGTGAATATTTGAAACCATCCTCACGGATTCTAGCTCCCAAAAGCAAGGAGAATGTGTTAATTTTGTGTGCAAAGTGACAAGAATCAAGCATGGAATTTTCGGTCAGCCAATGAAAACTAGGGATAGGATTTCATGAAGCTATGCACACGATTTTAACAAAATAAGGTTGAATGAACAAATTCGGCAAGAAACAAGTGTGGAATTTTCGGCTACCAAAAATGGAAATTGGCCTAGGTTAGTACAAGATCACACACGCGGTTCAAGGGTTCAAACTTTTAGGTTGCATGGATTTTCTAAAACTAAGATTGCATGCAATGTGATTGGTCGTCATAAATGCGATGAGACTTGGTACAAATTCCGAAAAAGGTAAAATTTATAATGGCGACTCCTCGAAAAACACAAAAGGAAGTTTCAAATTTCAAGGCGTCCTCGAATCGGAAAACGAGACACTTGCATGAAATTCTATTGGCCAGAAATAGATTTTGGAAGATTCGGCACTGACTATGATGAAAAAGTGCAATCATTGCGACAGCTAAGTAATGATTACGGCGAAAAGTGCAATCATTACAGGATCCAAGTAATTATGGCAAAATCTAAGTAATCATTACTAACTTTGCACGTCTTTTGAGGCAAAAGTAACTTTTTTGAAAAGTAAAGGTAAAAACACTTTTTGGCACAATTTTCAAAGCATTTTCTTGAAATTCACAACGGAACAAGATTAGGGATTTTTGGACGATGTCGGGACCGAGTATCATGCATGCAGTCATTCTAAAATGCAGGGTTCTCTACGAATTGAGACGATCGATTCGAGTATAATATCTAACTATCTATTCCGACAGTGGCAGGTCGGAACTGCGAGAAATTCACGACTCTATCAGATAACAATTAGGCTACGAAAATCGGGGCGTTACATTAGCGCCGCTATAATGTGCTGTGAATGGTTCTGTGATACACTAGGGGTATGGAAGATGAGGACGGTAGAAATACCTTGGGGAAGGGAGAGTGGTGGTGACACCGACTGTGGAACGGGTGCAGTACGGGCCACACACTCTCTTCTTGACTAGACCTCTGACCACTACCTTTGCTGAGCAACCTGTGACTGCCCATGTAGTATCCGTGAGGCGGGGGTAACCGGTGACCATTCATGGTGTGAATCTGTGATCACAGTGCCACAGTGAGCATGGATGGCATGCTCATGCACGGGATTGTTGTCATTATTTGTATTCATGATTGTGACATGCTGTGGATGCCACGAGTACATCGGTGTTGTACTGGAATGAACTGTGTGATAATACTGCCTGCGATTATGTATATGTGATGTGTTAAACTGATTTGGAGGTGAGGCTCTATAGTTATTTGTGTGTTTTGAGTAATGTAAAGTACTCACTCTTACATTCATTTTTCAGGTAATCAAAACGATCAGCATCAAGCTAGTGAAGGACAGATGGACTGCTATAAAACTTAGATTTTATTAAATGTTGTAATTGAACTAGTCTTGTAGCGGTTATTTGATATTAATTTGTAACCCTTCTCTTATTTCCAAATATCTTATGAAAATTTGGTTATTCAAATTTGCAAAAATTATTATTTAATTGAAATTAAAAATCTAGGTTACAATTTTGGTATTAGAGCAGTTCATCCAAACCGAACTGGGGTATCGGGTGAAGCGTCCAAGATAAGTGTTGATTATTTTGTTTTCCTGAACTATAATATGCTGGAATGTGATTGTTAACTTGTTGTAGCTGTCACACTATTTACAACTGCTGTTGCAATGAAGGTAAACTGACTAGCAAGTGTACTAGTATTGTTGTAGCAAGTTATAAAAAAAATCTTAGAATCAAATTGAGTTCCAAGTATCGTCCTCAGGGAATAAAGTTCTCAATTACCACTTCACAAGATCACAATTAGTTGAGCTTTACAAATTTCAGATGGAATTGGTATGAATGTATCAAAAACGAAATTAGAAAGTAAAACAGAACAGTTAGTACAAAAGTATATAGTAAACAGATGTAGAAAGAGTAGTTAGGAAATTGTTTCACCAAAACTTCAACATTGAATCAATAAAGTTTTGAACTTTCAAGCATTTAGATGGAATGACAATCAGTTTCACATTATATTAATCAAAGGACAATCCCTTGCCTCAATGAATCTAACATCTAATCAAATTACTCTAATCCCTTAGATCTAATCCAATCAAATGCTGCATTAAGTTTGAGAAACCAAAAGATTGCAAGATTAAGATATCTTATCCCTAAGAAACCAATAACCTTGGCAATTAATTCAGATCTGAGAAACAAATTCAATTCCCATTGATAAGAGTTCCTCTATGATTAGTTGATTAAATTTCCATTCAATCACTACTTTAACAGCAGAATCAATCACTCAATCCAATCCAAAACTCAAAGTTCAGATCCAAAATCAATTCAACACTTCCATTTCAGATTCACAATTCCTAACCACAAAGAGTTTAAGCAAACATTACAAAAAGAGAAGAGAAGAGAAGAGAAGAAGAGAATGAACAAAGAAGAAACATCTTCAAGCCAATCTCCAATCTGATCTCTCAAGAAATAAAGCTTGGTGTTCGTCCTCAATCTCCCTCTCTGACTCTCTCAACAACAAAAACAAATGGAAAATAAAAAATGAACAAAAAAACTCCAAAATTCCTGAGCTAACTGCCTTTTATAGAATTCCCGCTCTGCTGGCGTGATCACTTTTTCCAGCAATAGTAATCACGCAGAGGCTAATTCTTCATTTTCACTTGCGCGTGTTCACTTTTGCTGGTGATAGTAGCCACGCGCACTTCAAAGTGTTCACTTTTGTTGAAAATAGTACTTCTTCATTTTATGGTTCTGGAGTGATCACTTTCGCGCGAAAGTGATCACTCATAGGCTGTTTTTCGATTATCAACTTCTTTCCTCCAATTTTTTGCTACTTTTCTTCTATTTTTCCTTGATCATCCAATCCTCATGAACTTAACTCAGAATTCCCTACAAAAGCATACTTGAAATGTCACTTTTTACATAGAAAATCAATGAATTTTAAAATAACTGTGTTTAAAAGTGACATGCAATATTTTATTATTTTTTTAAGGGTTTTCTACTATTTCTAGCATGTTTTCTTTATTAATTGCACTAAAAACTATTGTAAAATACTAGTAAAATATGGATTCATCAGTAGCTAGATTGAATATGTCTGGTAGAGGTAGAGGTAGAGGTAGAGGAGCTAGAGGCACCAATGACCTCATGGAATGCATGGCTCAGATTCTAGAAGCCATGGTGCACAATCAAGGCAGAGAGTCAGCTGAGTATCGAGGATTATCTGCCTTCACTAGGCATGATCCTCCAAGGTTTGAGGGTGGATTCAACCCCAAAGGAGCTCAACGGTGGGTGGCTGATGTGCAGAAGATCTTCAATGCAATGGGGTGTCGTGAGGAGAACAAGGTTGGCTACGCCACCTACTTGCTGTGTGGGGAGGCTGAGGACTGGTGGAGGTTTGCCGGTCAGACCCTGCCACAGGAAGACAACTATATTTAGTGGGAAGCGTTCAAGACCATCTTCCTAGGGAACTACTTTCCCCAAGATTTGAGGAAACAGAAAGCTAGGGAGTTCCTTGAACTGAAGCAAGGAAGTATGACTGTGGGAGAATATGCAGCTAAGTTCCAGGAGCTGATGAAGCACTGGCCTCATTATCAGCATGGTGTTGGAGAGGAGGATCTGTGTGCTCAGTTTGAGCATGGATTGAGGCTGGACATCCGAGCTGTGGTCAGTGTGTTTCAGCTGACAGACTTGCCCACCCTGGTGAGCAAGAGCAGAATTTTTGAAGCTAACTCAAGAGGGAAGACGGTGGACACTAGGGGAGTCAGCCCAGTGAGACAAGATAGAAGAACCCCTAGGTTCTCAAGGGGACCGTATTCAGTTTCAAACAGCTCTAAGTCTCAAGGAAGTTCATCTCAAGAGAAGAGCAGTGAGAGTGGTTCAGGATCAAGCTCTTTCAGAGGGCCGCTTAAGTGCTTCAGGTGTGGAGGGCCACACATGGTGAGGGACTGCAGGAAGTCGGGGCACACTGCTGATGTGTGTTGGGCCGCCAAGAGGAGTGGCAGTACTAGTACAGCTCAAAGGCCTGAGTCAAGAGGGAGCACGGGGCTGAAGTCGAGCATCCCCAGGAGAGTCTTTGCTATGAGTGGGGCAGAGGCTTCACAGTCAAAGGGACTGATTCAAGGTAAATGTGTAATTAAAAGTAGATTACTTGATATGTTGTTTGACTCAAGTGCTATGCACTCTTTTGTGTCTGTGGCCCGTGTGAGAAGTTTGAATCTGTATGTAGCTAAATTGCCATGTAATGTGGTGGTGACTACCCCTACGGGTAAGCCGGTTGTGACGTCATAGGTATGCCTGGGGTGTTCGATAATGTACATGGTAGGGAGTTTGAGGTGGACTTAATTTGTTTACCTCTTTCGCAAGTGGATGTAATTCTAGGAATGGATTGGCTGGCTACCAACCATGTACTACTAGATTGTAGAGAGAAGACCTGGATCTTCTGTGCAGTAATGACCGAGGCCCCAAGACTTATGAGTCAAGGTGCATGGGAGAACACGGTGAACGCCAAGGCCTTTATGGTGATGTTTTCGATGGAGGCCGAAAGTGTGGTGGAGCCAGAGTATATTTTAGTGGTAAAGGATTTCTTGGAGGTATTTCCTGAAGATGTTTCTAAGCTGCCACCTGAGAGGGAAATAGAGTTTGCTATCAATCTCAGGCTGCAATTCTTGCAATTTCTTACCACTTATAAAGGTGATGGCATTGCATTGCTCCCTTGGATTAGACTCAGGCTGAGATGGCAGTTGATGAATCTACATTTTACTACATTTTTATACATCATTTATTACTTTTTATAGAAAAGAATAGACTTAGATAGTGTAAATAAGATGAATATTCCAATTAGGCTAAATAATATAGGTTTCTTAGTTTTTTGTTAATTTACATGAATTTAGATAGTTTATTTTACATATTTTGATCATTTGAATAATATGGCAGGAATCCCCAAGCTTATTTTGAAGAATTATTGGATTTTGAGGAATTTGAGGTGAAAGTAACTACTTTCAATATTGATAGTGACAACTACAGCAAGCCACTTCCAGCAAAGGGACCAAAGTGATCACTTTCAAAGCTTAAAGTGACAACTACAGTAGCCCAGAATCAACCAAACATGCGCGTGGTTACTATGAATATTCATAGTAGTCACTCTAGAGCATGCAGAATTGAAGGTGCTGCGCGTAGTTACTATCAAAATTCATAGTGACAACTCCAGAGAGTCCAAAATGTCCCAGTGTTGCACGTGATTACTATGAATATTCATAGTAATCACTCCAGAGAGGCAAAACTCAACTGATGCTGCGCGTGTTTACTATGAAAGAATGAGAGTAACTACTTTGGAGGGCGCCAGCTTTAGTATAAATAGATTTTTACCAAATTAGGGTAGAGGGTTCTTACACTTTTTGAACTTTTTCTCTTCTTTACTCAATTTAGAATATTTTCCAGAGCATAGGGCAACCTTGGGTGACAGCCAAGGGTCCAACCTAGGGTTTGGTTTCTCATTTCTCTTGCTTTTACATTAATGTTAATGAGGTTTCTGCATTTCCCAATTGCGTTTTTTACCCCCACTTCCATGGAGGGCTAAGTTTGTGTAATCCTTAGTGAATTCACATGGGTTCTTGAGTTCCTTGAATTTAATGATAATATAATTCCTTTCTTTCATGAATTACTTCTTCCTTATCTCTTGAATTGAATTAATGGTGAATGAGGGGAGTATTGCTCAATTAACCCTAATTTCGTTTTAAGGAGATTCTAAACTAAGGGTTGCTTAATCCTAGGTTTAATTCTAAGGTTGCGTAATTTTGGGATGAGAGATTAGAGCCTAACAAATTGCGTAATTTTGTTGGGAACATAAGGTTGATTTTCGCTTGTTAAATTAACCTAATTCATGGAAGAAAGGATAAATGTTAAATCTTGAGTGGAATGAGGATAGAATCTATGTGGATGAACTAAGGATTGTTGTTTTCTATTGTTTGAATTAATTAAACTCATTTGCTCATTGCTCTTTATTTTGATTTGAAACCACAAAACCCCCCATTTTAATTGCTTGTTTAATTTATGCCTTCAACATGTTTAATGAAGATTAATAACCAATGTTCATGGGAGACAATCTAGGGTTACCCTAGTATTACATTAATTTGTTTAAATTTTGTTGAGGATTTACGACAAATCTTTTAAACACCTCGAAAAAGACCATCATCAAATTGGCGCCGTTGCCGGGGACATTGGTGTTGATTTTTCATAAACATGTTATTTGCTCTGTTTTCATTTTCGTTTTCTGCATTGTGAATACTTTAGTATAGTTGTAGTTTCATAGGTAAGTAGAGATATCTTGCATTTAGGTAGAACCAATTGCTGTTTTCTGCATATTGTTTGAATTTTGATTTCTGCATTTTAGTTTACCACACTGTATTTTTGTTTACTGCAATTACCCTGTTTCTGTTGCATAATTCTGCAGAATTTGTGTTTGTGTGTTGCCTATTTTCATTCCCTAGTTTGCAATTTCTTTCTGTTTTTGCTGTTTGGTGTTAATACTTTATTTTACTGCACTTAGATGTTAGTTTTTCTGCATAATTGTCATCTGAATTTTTCTGCATTTTTACTGCTTCATTAGTTTACTTCTTTTCAAATTTCCATAGACAATTCCTAATGAATGACCAGATCAAATCCGGGAGATTTATATCCTCCAGATATTGAAATTGATAGGACATTCCATAGAAATCTTAGGAACCTTAGTAGACAAAATTCTGCACATATCGAGGAACCATCTTCACCATTTTCTCCATCTTCTATATATTCTTCTCTGCATTCTTTAAATTCTGAACCTTTAGAAATGACAGAAAATGACTTGACACTTAAGGAGCTTGCCGCACCGGACGTGACCTACCAGACTTTATGTATCCAATACCTAGATGTGGATGCCCCTTTTGTTCTTAAAACTGGCCTAATCCATCTTTTACCTAAATTTCGTGGTCTTGCAGGTGAAGATCTGCATAAATACCTCAAAGAATTTCATATTGTTTGCTCTACAATGAGACCACAAGGTGTGCCTGAGGAGCATGTCAAATTGAAGGCATTTCCATTCTCTCTTATGGATTTGGCTAAAGACTGGTTGTATTATCTTCCACCTGGCTCTATTACAAGTTGGGACACCCTCAAGAGATTGTTGCTGGAAAAAATTTTCCCTGCTTCAAGGGCTGCCTCAATAAGAAAGGAAATATGTGGTATTAGGCAGCTGGAGAGGGAAAGTTTGTATGAATATTGGGAGCGTTTCAAGAGACTTTGTGCTAGCTGCCCCCATCATCAGATAAGTGACCAGCTCCTAATCCAATACTTCTATGAAGGCTTACACCCAATGGATAGGAGCATGATCGATGCAGCTAGTGGGGGAGCCCTAGTTGACAAGACTCCCGCAGCCGCTAGAAACCTCATTGAGAATATGGCAGCTAACTCTCAACAGTTTGCTACAAGGCAAAATTTCATTATGTCCAGAAGTGTCAATGAAATTCAAACTTCAGATTCACACAAGCTGGAGCATAAACTAGATGAGTTGGCTACTATGGTAAAACAGTTGGCATCCATCCAAAAGAATTCTACTGCATATACACCTCCACCTCCATCCATTCCAACAATGCTTTGTGGGATTTGTTCATCTACAGATCACTTCACTGATAGTTGCCCCACATTACAGGAAACTGAATCTTCGGAAGGTAATCCTCAAGCTTATGCTGCTAATATTTATGCTAATAAGTTTCCTTTTCAGCAGCCGCAGCAACAACAAAGTTGGGATTTATCTTCCAATAGATATAATCCCGATTGGAGGAACCATCCTAACTTAAGGTGGGAAGGAAATGCACAGCATCAAGGCTCTAGCCAACCAACTAACAACCATTTCCAACCGCATCAAGCTGGACAAAGCAAGCCATATTCAGCCCAGCAACATCACCATCCCTCATCTTCATCTCAACAGCACCATCAAGCATCTTCTTCAATAGCCGCTGCACCTCAAAAGAATGAATCATCTTTGGAAGACCTTGTGAAGCAACTCACCATGAGTAATCTCAATTTCCAACAACAGAGTCAAGCCTTCCAGCAACAGACTCAAGCAAGTATCAAGACCTTGGAGAATCAAATGGGTCAACTTGCTTCATCCCTTAATCAACTTCAATCTCAAGGCCCAGGCAATCTCCCTGCACAAACTGTCACAAACCCAAAGAATGTGAGTGCCATTACCTTGAGATTTGGTAAGGTGATGCAAGAGCCAGAAATGCCTACTGAAAAGGATCCCAGTTGCACTTTAGCTGCAGAAGGTGAAGAAGGAGAAGTTGAAAGCCAAGAGCAGCCTGCACCTATGCCCACACCATGTCAACCAAAAGTGGTAGATAAGGAGGGGAGGTCTATTCCTATTCCCTTCCCTCAAAGAATGGTTCAGCCCAGCAAGAAGCAAGAAGAGGTTGATAAAGAAATTCTGGATACTTTCAGAAAAGTTGAAGTCAATATCCCCTTGTTAGATGCTATCAAGCAAATCCCAAAGTACGCCAAATTCCTTAAGGACTTAAGCACTCATAGAAGGCGTCTAAAGGGTAATGAAAGAGTGAACATGGGGAGAAATGTATCAGCTCTTTTTGAGAGGCAGAAAACTTCCATGCCTGAGAAATGCAAAGATCCAGGGATGTTTACTATTCCCTGCACTATAGGAAACAATAGGATAGATAATGCCATGCTTGATTTAGGTGCATCTATTAATGTTATGCCTTTATCTATCTTCACATCTTTGTCTCTTGGACCATTGCAGCCCACGGGTGTCATCATCCAATTAGCAAATAGGAGCACTACTAATCCAGCCGGCCTTGTGGAGGATGTTCTAGTGAGAGTGAATGACTTGATCTTTCCTGCTGACTTCTACATCTTGGACATGCAAGAAGAAGAGCCAATAAAAGAAGCTGCACCAATCATCTTAGGGAGGCCATTCTTGAAGACGGCCAGGACCAAAATTGATGTGCATGCTGGAACTCTCACTATGGAGTTTGGAGAGAGTGTGGTTCGCTTCAACATACTAGATGCTATGAAGCACTCACCTGAGGAGCATTCAGTTTTTCACATTGATGTTCTTGATAGCTTGATAGATGATAATTTTGCTGAATTTTTAGGAGACTCTTTCGTTGATTTTTCTGATTGTATAGATACCATAGATACTAAAATTTGTGAATATTGTACTAAGTCATCTTTGTGTGATATTTGTATTGCTGATTTTCTGGATTTAGATTCTGCAACTTCTAACATTAATGACATCGAAA